TATGAGTTGAGCTGACGTTTCCATTGAATTTCACATAGCCTTGCTTTCCCAAAAGTTGTTCTCATCGAGGCACCAGCGGAATGCAGTTTCGACCTCGCATCGGTTTTATCAACACTCCCAGCGGGAGTCGAACCGTGACAGTGCAGAATGTGAGCTTGACACGTTAACCACTCGGCCTTCCTTGAAATCCACATCTGCCCTCTGACCCAAGAGCTTTCGAGGCAATGTAGCGTAGTGGTTACCGTGTCAAGATTAAACGCCGAACTGTTATCGTTCGAGTCCTGCCGGGGGTGCGAAATACAATGAAAATGTAAGGTTTATTCACATTTTTGTGGGATAATGCGACTAGCAGTCCTTAATCACCTTAAACAAAATGGGGTAAACACATCTCATTTATATTATTTACTGGGAGTCTCGAAAGCCTACATACAAACACAACATGCATACTTATCGCCCGTGACTCACCTTTCGGCCCTGCCGGGCCCACAGGCCCCTGAGGACCCCTTTCGCCCTGTGGCCCTGGTGGCCCCGGAGGTCCTCTTGCCGACTTCACGGGCACTCGGATTCGGTGTCTTGCTAACTGGTTCTGGGCGCATTCCAGCTGTAGATGACAAACAGCCGAGTAGTCGTTTGAAGCAGACTTTCTTCCACTGCCTGAACTGAGGTCCTTGTGGGCTGAATCTTCTGCAGACAGAGCACGAGCGTCGCGGGGACGATGCAGACGCTCCAAATCAGTCGACTTGCGTTCGAATTGACTGAAGTGACAAACTTCCAAAAGTGTTGATAGCACGAGCAGTTTGATGGATACAGACAAAGTATTAAGCAACATATCAGCACAAGGATTTCTTTGGATTTTACAAAGTCAGACTTGCGTCAATCAGGTAAGCTGATCCGTACCAATGTTCCGTGAGAATGAAGTGAGTACAGTGGGAGGACGTTTGGGAAACGAGGCAAATACGAAGACCAGACAGTTGAAGAGAATTAATAAACTAAGACATTTTACTGGAGTGATAAATTTGGGGTATAGGGAAAAATTTAAGATTAGGAAGATCAACTTTTGATTGGCCGTTTCCATTGACAATTCAGCGAATAGGATATGCCGATAACAGACTTCTCGACGAGATGAGCCAGTTAAACTAAAGGAAGGGAATGAATTTGAGCATTGAATAGCAAATGGAAGATATACCCTCTTGACACGAGATGCCGATTTTGAGATATGCTTATACTCATACTTACTGTCCTCTATAAATTTTATAAAATATTAGCAATATTTATAGTCTGGCCCAATAACTAACTTTTTTCATTATCGAGTTGTGCTCAACAAAGAAGTCTGTTGAGAGAAACAGATAGACTAACCATTGGCTCACCATCCTGCGTTGATCTGTAGTTTATATTCGTAAGTGAGTAGGGTTTCGAGTTACCGTCCTGCACTGTCGCGGTTCGAG